CTACTACTACTACTACTACTACTACTACTACTACTACTTCTGCTACGACTACTACGACCACCACCACCTACCACCTACCACCTACTACTTTGTGATGAAACCCAAAAACATGTCTAGGGCTCAGGGCCTATAGATTGCCTTATTAAAAAGCAACTAAAAGCCCACTTGACAAGCTCACAAAGGGTACCCCTCACAAGGGCCGGTCCCCCATCAATAATCTGCACTATTACCCCCTATTAATTTGATCCCATGTCCCTGGCCTCTTGTTTACGCTTGTTTAAACTTATTGTGACTACTACAACCACCACTACTACGACTAGTACGACTACCACTACCACTACCACTACTCCCTGAGCAGATTATTCAGGGGAGGTGGACCTCATGAATCGTACCTCAGACCTTCTAGACCTTCTAGACCTTCCACGTGGTGGGTGGGGGGGGGCCAGTTGATTAATCCGGGGTTGACATTACTGAGATAGATGCATCCACAAGTGACATGACACTGTCGATCTCAAGATTTGATGATGTGATCTGGGTAAACCAACATCTCCATAAACCGATCCTATCAGTTGGACTCTATTTCTTGGGAATTCTGCGAGAATCCAAGTGATCCGGCGGTATTTCAGTTGGTGTGCGTCAGTTCCGGAAAAAAACATCCTGCAGGGAACTGACCTTTCAACAAAAAAACAATGCGCTGCACTGGTCCATCGGTATTGACCGAAAAGTCCTTCAATGACTCTAAGACTCTATGAGTAGTTGAATAGTTGAAGGGATCCACTTGACCCCACGTGGAGATGGTTGAACAATATGGGTGTGTATTTTAATGGGGAGACAGGCCCTGGCCCAGTGGTTTTGTTCTATGTTCTTTCTTCCAGCAGGTCGAACTGGGAGGTCTCCCTATTTTATCCTATTTTAATACACACTCATACTGTTGAACGAGCACTTTCTTGCTGTGTCAAAATCAACCTCTTGAACACCAAAACCGCGCCAATCTACAACGACCTACAAAGCCCTTCGCGCTCATCCCTGGAGCCCGCAGTCACGCGCTTGAGTTTCCTGTGGTTCGGTTTTGTTGGATACCTTTGCCGAATGACTGGCCTGAAAGTTGAGCTACCAACTGTGGCATTTTGCACAAGCACCGGAAGTTCCTTTAAAACATGAACTGGACTCCCATTGGACTCTTACCAGCTCACAAAAGGCGCGTTGCGCGTCTGTTTTCGCCGAAAAAAAATGTGATGGATCTGCCATTAGGAGATCCTCATCGTGAAACAAAACGCCTGTTGATCCACCTTCAGTCGATCTAGCAGGCCCCATGCATGCTGCGTCGAAGATTCCCCCGACGAGTTCCTCCTTTTCGACTTCCGGGCGACTGTTTTTCGTCGATGAAGCTAAGTCTTCTCGGCGCTGTGAGCTGTTGGGCAAATAGGGACACCCAAGGCAAACGTATGTGAATGTTCACACTGGTCATTTGCAATGGCTTTCAGAGTAGATAGCGCTGGCACTCCAAGAGGGGTCCACCTTTAAATGAAGGGTCCACTACTAAACCACCGACAAGCAGGGGTCTGTGCCATTGAGCCTCTCAATCCGAACAAAAAAAAGTAAAACAAACCAAACGTGCGAACACCTCCCATGAGTGGAGCTCCTCACAGCAAAAATATACATTATTTTCAGCTCACCCTAATTAAATGAGTATCTCTATAGAATGTATGGCCATTCATTAACACTCCTGTCAATCCTTCATCTATGTCACTCATAAATCCTGTCAATCGCCCCAGTGCAACGCGATGACTTGGCTCAGATCTCGATGCTTTCGCCGATCTCGTTCAAGGTGGCCTGGCAGGTGTTCTCTTCGAATCGCTGTGGGTCGTTCGACCAGGACACTACTTGACAGGTCAACCTACCCAATAGACTACTTGGTGACTTCAGCTGATTCAAGGATTACTGGGGAATTACTTCCTAAAGATATAACAGCAGTGTTGGACTCAAACAAATGGGCTTCAGAGGTAGTTGCCTGGGTATGACATACCCAAACACAAAATAACAAGTGTATTGGCTGTATGATCTCGCTTTCAGGGATTAATTCAGCTCTGTTTCGTCCGATGTTCACCTGACCTGTTTACCCTTCCTGGGTGCTCGATCTTGCACAATGCGTTGGCCTACTCACCCCATGACCCAAATGTTTTGTGGGTAAGGCAGGTGAAGCGGGTAACACAGTGATACACCATGCATGATCATTTGGGGACCCCTTCTGAGTAAGCCAACTGCCACTGGACGGTAGGACATC